TGATAATCACAACCATATGTCTAAAAGAATTACACTCATCATAGATAAAAAAAAATTCTTGAAGCATGCAGTCAAAGCATGTGAATAGATAATAGTACATGTAAGTATGGAGAAGACTCTCTGGTAGGAGATTAGTTAAAAAAAAAAACAAAAACAACAAAAAAAAACTGATGAGGATAATTATGTATTAAAGGTTTTTATGCACAGAAATGGAAGTCTCCTGTTTTATGTCAAAATAAGAATAGAATCCTTTCTCCTTTCCTTTCCATGGGGATGAAGTATGAGCTTAAAAAATATAGATTTTAGAAAGAAATTTAAGATTTCAGAAATAATATTAATGTTTGTATTTTGCTGATGTTGCGTAAAGTATGATGCACTGTCACATCAGGAAAGAGGCATCAGGGAGTATTAGAGACCCCAGGGGGTTCAGAGGCATTGACATAAGTGGTGGTTGGGGGCACAATGGTTTGCAGAGGCATCAGAATGGCTGCGTTTGGTTTGTTAGAGGAGAGATATATGTCCTCAGGTGTTGATGATTATGGACAGTTTGTTTTTGGATCTTCCTGCAGAAGTCTCTTGACAAACTAATAAGAGCTTTATTATGGCTGACATACAGTTATTGCTGCTATAATGTTCTAGGCAAAAAAAAAAAAATCTAAGTAAAAACAGAGACTATAATTCTAGGCAGCAAATAACAATATTAGTTTGGAGAAACATTATTGCAAAATATTGTATATTACATTTAATGGAAATAGATTAGGGGGAAAAGGAAAGAATTTTTGTCAGACTTGAAAAAAAAATAACTTATCTAGCTTAAAACAAAGACAACAAATGTTAAAGATTTGGAAATTTTCAGACATCATGAGCTTAAAAATAGGACCTGGACCAATATCTGGTAAGTCCAAGAGAGGAATTTCTGAGCCCAAAATGTTAGTGTCTAGTACTCCATTTGAAGACACATCTATATTTTGATTGAATGCATCATAAAATAGAATTCGCCAATACAAGGGTCAATTCACTTTTGTTAAATATAAACCATAAGTATTAACACTTATATTTCACTTATTTTTCCTTTTGTGCTTAATTGTCGATATTTGAAAAATTGGTCAAATATAAATCATGTCTTCAGTTTGTATATTTTATAGGATGACTTTTAAAGATATAATTTTTTACTGTTTTATGACTTCAGTTAGCACTTTCATATAAGGCTTGACTGTAGAAAAAAAATGAATACCATGTTATTTTCCCACATACTACTATAAAAGTCTGGGAGTTCAGTTCATGTTTTTGACACAAACATGATACATGGATGTAAAATACATAGTCATGAAATTTGTGGTATCAAAGTCTTAGAGCTTGATTATTATATATGTGGCATTTCTAATAGAAGTTGGTGAGAATGGCTACTTTACTACTTTTACAGAACCTAGATTTGCTGGAATGATGGTTCAGGCAAATTTGAATATGGAAATCTAAATTTACATCTTTAGTGGTCTGTGGGAGATCATGTGCAATAAAACACAAAATCTGGAGGTGTAAGATAAAAAGACTAGTAATAGTCTAGACTAATGATGTGATAAAAGTATTCAAGATTTTTTTTGTTTTTTATAGGGGTGATGAAAAATTGGCATTAAAAATAATCAAAAATATAGAAAAATACAGAGAAGCTGCCAAATTAGAAATAAATGTCCTGGAGAAAATTAAAGAAAAGGACCCTGATGGCCAGTTGTAAGTAGTTTGAATGAATTATGGAATTGTTAGTACATGTAATTCTAATTTCAACTGTGAGATTAAATGAAGCAAAATGTGCTAACACTTGTTGATGATTTACAGATCCATGATATTTGATCATCTTTGTATTTCAGTTTATGTGTTCAGATGAAGGAATGGTTTGACTACCATGGACATATGTGTATAGCATTTGACATGCTTGGTCTAAGTGTCTTTGACTTTTTGGTAAGATTAGTGGACATTTTATGTTCAATTTCCCTTTACTTACAAAGCAAATATTGTATTGGTCAGTGTTTGTTTTGATACAATTTTGAATAATTTATCGCAGTAGCTTGGGACCTGTTAAAAAAATGATGATAAATTATTGTGTGTTTAGTTCTTGAACTAAAAATATGATTGTGAAAAATAAGAAGCAGATATATTTAAAGGCCAAAGAAGTATATTTGGAAGACAACAAACTGGAGAGGCTTTTTTTAAAGTCAAGTCTTCAACATAATGTGGCATTCTGTTAAAAGGGTATTATTTTCCATTTCAGAAAGACAACCATTACCTTCCCTACACAATTGATCAAGTCAGACACATATCATACCAGTTATGTTATGCAGTCAATTGTAAGTGCTTGCATGAAAGTTGAATAAATTAAGAAAAAAAGAAGAATTGCAATTTTGATTCTAATAGTTGAAAGAAGAAGAAGAATTGATGTTGATTTTAATAGTTGAACTTTGTTTTTGATGTCAGTGATTGTATTTTTTTGCAGTTCTGCATGAAAACAAGCTGACACACACCGACCTCAAACCAGAAAATGTTTTATTTGTGAATTCCGATTATGAAGTGTCATACAACCCAAGGAAGGTAACGTGTGAAGAATTAGGGATAAAAACGGTAATGGTTCTTACGTTATAAGCATGCTAGGAATGGTGAGAAACATGTCCATTATACCTAAAACACCAAGGCACACTGAAATCTTAGCATCTAGACATTGAAAAAGAGGTTTGCATTAGTTCAAGATTATACAGATGGAAGGTGGAAAGGGCTTTATATAAGATTTGCAGAACAGACATTTATTGGAAAAGAAATAAGCAAATCCAAATTATTTCACTGTGCCTTCAATATTCACCTTAAAAGAAATTGAATAGATTAATGATTAAGTAATGTATAATTGGGTCAATGAGATTCAAGAAAGCGCAAAAATAAAATGGACAAGTTTGTCGCATTCCTGAAGCATGATGGGAGCTCGGGGACTGATGATGACAAGTTTATCATCACCCAAGTCTACCCCCCTTTTTGGCACTTGGTCTGTGGTGCTTTCTCTTTGCTGCTGTAATACCAATGCAGGTATCTTTTTTTTATATTTCTCTTTAAAATCTTCTCTTTTTTAGTATAAGAATCTGTTAACACCTCTGACCAGTTCAATTATTTTGATAAAAAATGCACATACTTCTTATGTTCAAAATGGTGAATGGTATTTTTTTTTTGCCCTCCAATTTTATTTTCATTCTTTCCAATCCTATTTCCACCAAATTAAGTTGAGGCTAATTTCAGTGTCTTTATGATTGTTTCTAAGTCCCCTTTTGAAAAATTTGGAAACATTCTGGGATGGATTCTGTATAATAATGATTTGTTGTTTTAATTGTAAGAAGGAAGAAGTTCTTGAGCATGCACAGCTGCTTGTATCTCTGACTCGCTAGCTCTAGCCTTGTATCTATTTCTTTAAGAAAGTTAAATTATGCTGCCTAAGAGAATAAATTTAAATATTGGTTATTTTTAAAATAAACTATTAATAGATTAACATTGGTTGTGAAGCTGGAAAACTTACATTGGATGTGTTTTGATGTGTGGGTACACTAAACCTCCTGTAGAATCAGCACCAGATTTTATAATACAAGTGTTTTCATTTCCGTAGAAACGAGATGAGCGCAATATTAAAAACACAGACATTCGACTGATAGATTTTGGTTCAGCAACATTTGACCATGAACACCACAGTACAATTGTCTCCACTCGCCATTACAGAGCTCCAGAGGTCATTTTAGGTAAGGCTGTGTGCTTGTCACTAAAAAAATTAGCATACTTATTCAGTGATGATTCTGTGACTCGGCTGAAATATCTGAAATAGATTGGGGATCGAGGGGCTGATGAAATATGGGCTTCAATTAGCAAGCCCAAAATAGCTTAAAATGAGTGACAAAAATTGAAAAGTGACTGTTCAATCAACTTTTACATACTAACCTGGCTGAATGAACTGCCTCACTCTTGTTAGCAATTTCTGATTCGTACCTACATCTGTGTTTACCTTACTTGGAGAAATAAGCAAACATCTAAATGATGCAAACTAGATCAAAACATGGTCAAAACAACTTGAATTTTCTTACCTGGACAAAAACGGAAACGGATAGCTACAAAAATAGAAAGTACCAAAATATGGGAAAACACTCATAAATATCGGATTCTTGGATTGAAATTAGCGGAAGTCCGCTAAATATCCGAAAGAATCATCACTGCTTGTTACAGTACAATGAAAGCTTTTGAAATTATTCAGACAGATTAAAAAGATCTAAGAAATACTAAAATGTTTTGTTGATTTAACACATTCCGAGTTGCTGAGATGTCATAATTTAACAAAAGTTCACATTGTTCATAAGTTGGAATTGGGTGCTGTTTTTTCTTAATTCAAGTAGATGTTATCTACAATAACAAATCGTGAAATGTAGAGAAATCATACTGCAGGGGTTTTTGCATCTTAATGAAGAAATTAAATAAATTTGTTGACAGAGATGGGATGGGCCCAGCCATGTGATGTGTGGTCAATAGGCTGTATCATGTTCGAGCTCTACACTGGCTTTACGTTATTCCAGGTCAGTTGATCCTGTATTGTCAAAGTTTACATAATATTTAAGGAATGACATATTTATTCACTTCCAAGTGTTCATGGAATGTAAACTATAAGAATTCTTGGAGGAAGTAGAGTTTAGATTGCCAATTATTTTCTTGATGAAAAAATTATATAATTCTGATAGATATGGCCATTAGTGCATTTTAACATGCATGGTGTAATTGTGTTGAGGATGTCCCATTGGGTGTAGATTAATTGTTTTTGAGAGTAATCTTTACAGATATGCACAGTGATGGTTTCCATTATATGCAGGGGTGTTTTCTCTTGCAGACTCATGACAACAAAGAACATTTAGCTATGATGGAGAGAATTCTGGGCACTTTGCCATACAGAATGATCAAGAAAACCAAGTAAGTTCGCAGATGCTTTGGAAATATTTGTAAACAACATTTAACTCATAAAGTGTTAATCTTATTTCCAGAGAAATAGATAAAGATGATAAGATGCAGAAAGTGTATAATAAAAATTAAGACAAATATTTTTGGAAAACCTTTTGTCTTTAATATAAACCTGTTATTGACTGATGTTTGTAAACTAATGCACAGGTCAGCCCCCATTTAACCTTGTTTGTGTCTTACATACACTCCTTGTAATCCATCTCCCTCTATAGAAAATGATGAGGGAGTTAGAAGAAGGCTTGCAATCAATGTCCAATTTATGTCTAAATGTTTTCTGCAGTTTATACCATACAAGTGGTTATTTTATTGTGAACAGAGTAATGTAGATATCTTTTCACAAAATCGAAGTCAGACCTGCATACCCTTCTGCTTTTGGCGTAATTATTCCGCTTTTTATCACTGAATTACGCTGCAATGCCAGAAAAACAATTTTACAATTTTTAAAGTTTTATTATTTAAATGTTTATTTACAACTCTTTTGAGTTGCTTTTACCTACTATCAATAAAACTCCTTACATATATATAAAAGGGACCTATGGATTTTTAATACATATACCCCAGTAATGAATTATGGAAACTAAGATGGCTTCTTAAAAAATACAGCACATGCCAAAAATTTAAAAGAAGAAATCAGCTGATAAGATTCTACATAATACTACCAAACAAAAGACTGAATTAGTTGGGGTATGCAAGCAATACTGATCAAATTCTTTATCAAGAGTGGAGTTCTGTCAGATACATGCATAAGACATGTCTGTATGTAAGGATGCTTTTGTTTTCCAATGCGCGGAATTCATGTCAATAAAAAAAGGATCTGATTATGATTTACTTCCGTAATTAAATGAAATATAAACATCTACATGTAAATTACAATGAATCTTGGTTAATTGATTGATTATTTGCTTGCTTTACATCTCTGTGAATTTTTCAATTCGTTCATGAAATAGGATCCCACCAATTGTCAGTGGAAGGCTCTAAATTTATCACTTGGCACTTATGGCCATTGAGCAGTGGGGGATCTTTTTCGTGCCAACAAATATGGGACACAGGAACATAAATTTATACAGTCTCTTCCGAGAGGCAAGCCTCCCTGTCCCGCATTTGATTCAAACATGCAATGTACAAGATCGAAAGTAACTTTAAATCAATGCGCATGCTCTAATCACAGGGCCACACAGCCAATGAATCACAGTATGATATGAAATTAGGAAAATATGTATGATTACACCTCTGTCTTTAAAATTACCCTAAAATGAGCATTTAGATTATACCTCTGCAGTCAAAAGGGTAGGCAGGTTCTGCAGAGATCTATACAAAATATTTTGGCAATTTTATAATTTAAAAGAAGTATGGCACACTATAAGAAAAGCTCATATAACTGTATTATTTGCAAGTTGAACAATATGTACACATTACTAATATTTAACATTTTTATAGTTTTTTTTACCCCCTGAGTGGAGGAAAAAAATCTTCAAATTTTTCCACAGAGAGAGAATTCCCCCTTTTTGGGGGGTTAATATGATTACCAGCCTTCTTTTTATCCAAAATAGCAAGCTTTATGCATAAAAATAGTGATTATTTGGTGTTCTGATATTGCTTTACTGAGGGGCTTTCATTTGAGCTTGTGAGGAAGAAAAATTCAGTTTTAAATCCTCAATTTGTCACTTTACTAAATGTGTGATTAGAAGTGTTTGTGATATGACGATTTGCCCTCATGCCTCTATTTTCCCATTTGAAGAACAAATTTTTTCTGGCATGGGCGCCTTGATTGGGACCCCACCTCCTCTGCGGGGCGTTATGTACGGGAAAACTGCAGGCCTCTTTATGTAAGTATAATGCAGATGATGCCTGTTGCCTGCCTGCAGTATTAAAGCACCAAGACTTGCAACAATTATCTGCCCCTGCTCGCCCACACCTCTTTTAAGTTGTGTTGCGCTTTATGATATGGAGAGGATTTTAGTGAAACCAAATTAATGACCGGCTGAACTTGATTGTTTGTAACTGTGTCAGCATGCCCTTATTAAAGCTAAGGCTAATTGTGCACATGGTAGAAAGCAATACTGCCAACTCTGAAAAAAAGCTTGCTGAATTCAATGCTTTTAATTCATCAAATGTTTATGTTTGAAATATTTAATTTCTCAGTGTACACTGTTATTGGTAGAATTTTATGAAATAATGAAAAGCTATGGCAGCAAGTCAGAAACAGTTAGCCTTGGTTAAACGTGGCCTGTGCATGTGTTTATTTTTGTTACACATTAGAGCATGCATGAGTTTGTGTCTGATTATAGCTTTTGTTTGTCTTTTTTGTTTGGAACCTACAGAAAATACAAGTATTTCTACAATGGTAAGCTCGACTGGGATCAGGGAAGTTCGAAAGGAAAATATGTTCGTGAAAATTGCAAGCGATTGAAGGTAGGAACAAATTTTGGAGTTGACATATTTTCGACGAAGAAAGTTTTGCATTGATCAAGTTTTATTTCATTCCAAAGTTTATTACCCTAGAGAGATTACTTTGCTGGGTATGTATGTTGTATTCAGAGTGTGTTGTAAGATAAGATTAGTAATCAGTATGTTATTATTTTTGTACATTCCATTTCAGTACTGATGTCATCCCATCTAGTGGCCACAAAATATGTGGAAATTGTTGAAATACTTCTATTTGATGCATGAATAGGTTGATTTATAGACGAGAACCCTAGTATTATACTAATAGATTTGATGATGAAACATCAGTGTACACAAGTGTTATGTAGGGTACACAGAAATTTATGACCATGCTTGAAGTGAAGATGTGTAGAAGAAACTAATGGCATGAAACCACCGATCAGTCAGATCAAATTCTTATTGTAAGATTGAATTGCCAAGTTTCTAGGTGACCAGTTGCTTGTAAAATTAGAATGGATTGACTTTCAGTTATGTTTTAATATCTGTGAATGTGATGTCTACAACATGCAGTTTGTGTGTGTTTTAAGATTGACTGCTCAAAAGCTTGTTGAAAAATTAAAAGGTAAATAACTTTTATTCTTGAATTTTAAAATAAATTGGATTTTAAAGTAAATTGGAAGTTAAAAGAAAGATTCATTATTTTTAATGAAAAAGAGTCTTTCAATATTCTGAAGACTCAGTTGTAATGATTTAGAACCAGTGATTAAGAAGTGGAAAATATACATGACTGATCTGTAGAATGGACCAGAGAATCCATTTGAATACAAGTAGGTGTTTTACATAGATTTGGTTCCTCTTCTTTCAGCACTATCTACGTGACAAGGGCTCAGAGCATCGCCAGTGTCTAGAGCTCGTTGAAATGATGTTGGACTATTTACCCAATGAACGCATCACTCTGAAGGAAGCCATGAAACATCAATTCTTTCGCCCAATTCACAAGCAGTATCCGGGTCGATATCCGTCCATTGATCAAGTGCGGTCCATGTCAACAGAGAAGTCAACAGAGAAGGCTCCTCAGAATGAAGACGAGAAGGATGGGATATGTCGGAGCAAAAGCCGAAGTAAAGAGCAAGAAAAGATGGAACTTGATAGCGTTCCTGAGAAAACGGAAAAAGTGACTAAAGAGTTGAATATACCAGACATGATTGTAGAGAAACCAGAAAAAAGTTTGTATGAGTTGTTTCCAGGAGCTAAATTATCTCGTGCTAACCCTGCTGAGAATTTATCTTCCAAAGAAACAGAAATGAAAGTATCAGACCAAAAGAGGGATTCCTTAAAGTTTCTCAGTGTGCTTGAAAAGCAAGATTCTCAGGCTAGTTCAGAAACTGATTCAGATAAATTTTTGAAAGTCACTGATGGGGATACTTTGGCAGATGACAATGATATGGAAGGTGGTTCTAAAGAATCACGCAAAAGAAGGAGCAAAAGGCCATCCCCAGAGATTCCTGTTCCAGATGTTGAGGAATCAGAATCTGTACAGGAAGCAAGAAAAGCCAGGCAAGCACGAAGAGCTGAAAGGGAAGCCAAGCTTGCTGCAGAAATGGCTGAGCACGAAGATGCATTGGAGGCTCGCCGTGCTAGGAGACTAAGAAGAGCAGCCGCAAATGCTGACCAAAGGTCGGAAGACAGCACAGAATCTGAACAATCTCTTGTTTCTCAGAGTAGAAGACTAAGGAGAACTGAAGCTGTTAATGATGATTCCTATGAGCCAGAGAAACCAGATGATAACCCAGATGCAATAAGTGAGAAGAAAACCAAAAACATGAATAATGAAGAGAGTCTAAAACTTCCAACAATAGATTCATCTAGCCAGAATGAAGATTTGTACACAAGACTTGCTCGAAAAGCCTTGAAAAATGAATTACAGAAAAACACTAAAGAGGGTAGAAAGGACTCTTTACCTTCAACAAATCCTCCACCTGATTTCGAACCTGTCAAGGAGATGAAAAGAGAAGAATCCCCTGCAACTCGCAGAAGAACAAGGATGGAGGAAATTGAAAAAGAGATTGCTGAAGAAGAAGCTAGAGAAGAAGCCGAGAGGAAGGCTCGTAAAAACTCTCGTCAAGGTGTACCAGATCAAGGAAAAGCCAAATTAGAGCCAAGCATGAGGAGTATATTTGACTTTTTCAAAAAGTCTACTCCAGATACTGTCATAAAGATTTATCCAGAGTTGTCATCTCAAAAGAAAAAATCTGCTTCGCCACTTGTAGAACAAGGTGAGATAAAAGCACTTGAAAGTTCCACTTCAGAAACGTGTGGAAATAGACCTAGTTCCCCAGTAGATGTAGTTGCCCCTAGTGAACCACATTTATTGCAGGAGGAAAACAGTAGCATTCCATCAAAAGAGGAAAATAAAAGTATGGATATTCCTTCACAGGAAGCTGCAGAGATTATGGTTACTCCACCGACTCCAACTGTAGAGCAGAAAACTCTGAGTTCCCTTGATGCAAGTGGTATCAAGGTGAAAGAACAGGATGAGCAAAAGAACTTTGAAGAAAATAAACCTGTGTCAAATAACAAAGTTGATGTTCCAATGGAAACCCAACAGATAGAAAGTGATCAAGTTCAAGCCAATGAAAGTGAAGAAGTAGAGATGAATGAGGCCCCTTTAGTTGAAAAATCAGAAGGAAAATTAATAAATAATAAGTCAGATGAAGTGGTAGTTGAAAAGTCAGAGGATATGGTAGTTGAAAAGTCTGAGGATTCAGTTAGTCAGTCAGTTGAAGCTCAAGTTGAGCAAGCTTCTGAGGAGCAGTTTAATGAAGGGTTTGCTAAAGAAAAACAGGAAGATCCTTCTGCAGAGAAAGAGCCTGAGAATGTCTGTAATGATTCAGATGAGTTTAAATCTGCTTCAGAAAATGCATCACCTGTTGTCACAAAAACAGAGTCTGAAAAGGCTAGCAAACCACTGAAGCCCTGTGATTATTCCATGTTTGTGGAGCCAGGTCCCTGTCAGGTGTACCTAGAGCCAGAGCCACCTGATAACCTGGGCCAAGCTGTGTCCAGTGGTGGCACTCCACCTGTTGCAGAAGGGGGTATTGCCAAAGGAGATAAGAAAAAACGCAGACGAAGGGCAAAGAAAAAGAAGAGTTCTGACCAAATGGTTCCTGCAGGTGGTGAAGAGGAGACCTGCTGTTTTTTAGGGAAACCCGGTCTAGATTCACCGCTTAACCCTCAGACAGAGCCCCCTTTAGGGGACTCTGAGCCGATGGTTGAGTGTGCATCTCAAATCTCTCAGAGTGACTCAAGTCCAGGTGGAGACTCGAATCTAGGCCGGGATTCTGGCTGCGTAGATCCAAACAATTCCAGTAACCAAGTCGGTGGTGATCCAAGCCAGGCAGAGAGTAAATATGTGGCTAGGGGAATCAATTCCTTATGTATCCCCATGCAGTCTCAGCTTGAAGTCATCGGAGACAAGCGGAACAGGTGAAAAGCATGAACGATAATTGGCTTTACGGTCACTGTAGTCTAATTTCACTCTATTTGAGTTTGTGTTGTGAAATTTTCTAGAGTTCTGGAGGGCTTGCAAACTTTTTACATCCACAATCAGCTATGGAACAAACTGTGTCAAGCAAATTTCTTGCATGGTTATTACCTCTTTACTTCTCATGCATTTGAACAGATTTCAAATTGGTGTAGCTTCCAGGGTGTGCTAAGGATTTCCCTATGTTGTACTGATTGTTTTACAACACCTTTGCAGTTAATATTTCAGTGAAGGCATTACTTTATTTTTTTCTGCAAATTGCATTATCTTTATTGTTATTCTTGGAAGAATTTTTACCACACAGAACTAACGCTTTCAGTATTTAATGGTCTTTATTGTATTTCTTTTAACAAGTTTTTATTACCAAAGCTTCCTTGGATTTTTGAAGTGTCTTAACAGGAGTGTTATTATATAGCAAGACAGAAGTTGCATACTTACCCAATTAAACCAAGTGCTTACTGACTACAGTGTTCAAAATGAATTTAATACATCTCAGATATTGTTTGCTTATAGACTGTCTCCAATAAATGAATTGTTGATTGTGAAGTTTTGTGATTTTATGTAACAGCTTCATGGACAATTTTACCTGAACACTATGTACTAAATACTGCCACCGTTGAAAATGTAGTATATATTTTAAATGGTAAATGTAATGTAAATGGCAGTTGGTGTTGCAACTTGCATGATTTATCATGTCAATCACTTCAAGCATGGTCAATGTCTAAAATAATAAACAAAAAGGTTGTACAGTAGCACAGTGGGTAAATGAAGAAAGGGTTCACGGAGAAAATCTGCTTAATTACTTGGGATAAAATTTTGGTTGGTGTTGTCGTTAATACAGCTGAAATTCATAAGAAATAAATTGCATCATTCCCACCAAATTGCAATATCTAGGAATATTCAATTCTTAATGCTAAATAGTATGTTTGCCTTTTATAAAAACCTCAAGCAAGGGTTTGGGAAAGTACATTGTCAACAAACTGTGAATCCTAACTAAGCAATGTTATATTTCAGTAAAATGTGAAGCAAAATCAATACATATTGTTTAGTAGTTTGAGTTTTCTTTAAAAATACACACAGAGTATATTCATTATGTCACATATAGATTATTACTGCAGTAATGAAAATAGCAAATTTTTCCCAATTGATATAGCCTACATTTTTCCTATGAAACCTATCTTCGCTTGCCCATTGAGTAGAGGTACAAGTAATCAATTGATACTTTAACCCATTTTATGCATCAAATATTTCAAAGTAGAAAAATTTCTGGAGAGCTTGATAAGATATATACATGGAATAAGAAATCATCACCATAATATCTATATGTATAATCATGGTCTCATGTACTGACATTTGCCAATTTATCTATCATCATACATACAGTGCATGCCTTGTATCTTTCCAGCATTACCTAACGGAACCGGAGAACACTGACCACAGAGATTTGTTTGATCTCATCTGGTGCATGTTGAAATATGACCCAAAGCAGCGAATCGCTCTGAGGGAAGCCTTCAGACACCCATTCTTTGCCAAGTATAACACAGAGGACAGTGGGTCACACATGAGAAGTGATGGGGATAGAGAGAGGTCACACAGCATCAGCAGGTGACTAGACATGGCGTTCTAGAGGAAGCAGGGTATAGACAATATTGAGGACAAATTGTTGGCAAGATAACCAATCCCGAGTCAGTAATGGGCTATTACAGCTTCTCTGTCTTATTCTGAATGCTCCCGGCCATGCTGTTATTCCTAGTCCTACCGTCTTCAGAATCCTGGTGGAATTTTTTTTGTTTAACCGGAGGTTGACTTGTGTATGTTGCATTATTGGGACAAGCAAGACATAGCTGGTGCATCTGTGGGATGACTGAGTGTGAGAGGTCAGCCGTGTGCTGTTCAGTGGAAGGAACCCCTTAACATCGGTGCTATTGCATTTTTCGCTTGGTTTTTATCGGGGGACTGGCAAAGTGAAAGTGTGCATGTCATTGTAGTGTAGATACTTTATAAAAGATGGATGTGTGTAGACTTCCCTTGTCAGATTATTTTAATATATTTATCTCTGATGTGTCATATGTTACTTTGTGATAAATGTGCAAATTTTTAACAATGAAATGATATCTACATGAGATGATCAAAATTTTCTTCTCATTATGCAATCAAATCTTTCTCATTATCTGAGCGAGATGGGAATGTCTGTTGACTTTATGTTTTATCTCTGGCGTCAGTGTTCCAGTGGTTAATTAAGCATTGTGTGATGCTGCATACATCTCTTGTATTTTCTCGCTCAGTGCCTATATAGTTTTACGCAAGTTTTTGTTTCAGTACTTGATGTTCAGTCATAATAAATTACGATATTTATAAAATGTCAATAAAAGCCAGTACATGTTTATTTGTCTTTGGTTTTGAATAGAACCTTGCTTCAAAAAAATATATCAAACTATTATTTGTGACTTACCCTTTAATGGGAAGAGCATAATATAGATGGTCCTGTACATCTTTCAGCCTTCCTTCTATCTGACTTTGCAGATTGCTCAATTTAAAGGTGCTTGGACACAGATTTGAAGTTAATATTTTCTCAAATTTTCTGTATAAGAATCTGGGGGGATAAGACGAGCCATGTGCCCATGCCCATTTTTCGGCTATGCAAGAACATTTATTGGAAAAAATCTCTCAATTGTTCGAATTTACTTAAGCATTTTAATGTTTACCGTAGTTTTCAAAATGATATTTATATTCTAAACAAGCTAAACAGTTGACTTTCATTTACTGTCACAAATGTCTAACATGGGTAAGGACTTCTATTTAATTAATCTGCATATTGAGTGTTAACACTTATTGTGGAGATATTATAAAAATGTTAACATCGTTTATAATGATAATGGTGATCTAGAAGAGCTTTTATTTAAAATGAATAAAAACGGGAATAAAAGTATTCAAATATCTATTATAATTCTTATCCGGCATATTAAATAATTTACTGTAAATAAGTTCATTACTACATGTATATATTTTATTTTCAGTGAAAAATATGTTATTCCTAAAGACATTTTTTATAAAGTAAAACAAAATTAAAACCAAAAAAAAATCAAAAAATCAGAGTATGACTCGAACACTTTCCTCAATAAACGTCCCTTTAAAGAGCTCCTCGCTAACCACTAGACCACGGAGTCGCACTTACATGTCTATTTAAATAGCATACAGTTCTCTATATTTAGCAAGCGTTTTTGGACTTAGAATTTTTTAAGACCACGGTGAAAATCTAAGTAAGTTAACTTAATTTTTTATGTAGAGTGGGTCTTCATACCAAATTTTTGCAAATGTAAAATGCAACATCTTTCCATTGCCTTTCATTTATCGTTCTCAAAAAAATGGTACGATGACCCACTCTATTTAAAAAATGTAGTTATATCATCCAATTTATGTCAGTTTCTGTGAAAATTGAGCGTGATGCCATTTTGTTCTGTTAATCAGAATCATTTTCGCTGTTACAGTATTCAGGTTTTGTCAAATTTGTATGCAAATGGTAATAAGCATTACATTAATTCAACAAAAAGTGAAATTTTTGTAAAATAAATTTATTGATTTTTTATCGATCGTTATGTAGGCATATGGCTCGGCTTATCCCCCCAGTTTCTTTCATGACTTATATGTTGCTGTAGCATTTCATACTAAAATATAATAAAAATCTTATTTCATCTCGAAGTTATTAAAACTTCGAATTTCTGGATGCATTGGATTGACACATCCTTGCGCTTTCACATATTTTAATTTTATTCTTAATACTTAAGAAAAGTGGCAATTTTGTTGTGTATTAATGAAAAATATTAAAATTATAACCCAGAAAATTCAGAGTAGAAAGCCCAATCACAGTATTATAAGTCCGTGCTCAGTGATGTGTGCAGAGTTTAACAATTGAACACACCCGGTGAATCGTAAACATTAACAATAACAGAGCTCGTGCCCTGTTAACAAAAACAGTTTACGTTTCACGGGTGTGTTACATTTGTTAAACTCTGTACACATCACAGAGCACGGACTGACAATACTAGTGAGTTGGTTTTTGCTTTCGAACATTTCTACTCTGAATTTTCTGGATTATAGATTTAATATTTTTCATTAATACATAACAAAATCGCCTCTTTTCTTAAATATTAAGGATAAAGTTAAAATTTGTGTAAATCAAACGCGTCCCGGAATTCATAGTTCTAATAATTTCCAGATAAAATAAGTTTTTAATTATATTTTCATGTGAAATGCTATTGCAATATATAAGTCGTGATATTATACAGAAAATTTGAGAAAATATTAAGGTCAAATCTGTGTCTAAGCACCTTTAAAAGAAGCTAAGATATTGTTATCAAATTTATCAATACACAGATACATCATAAATCCTTATTCCTTTTCCATGTTTTGCATACATGTAGCTAAGTTTCAGAGATATTTGCATCAAACTTGATACATTTTAAAAACATATTGATGAGAGCAATTCACACGAGTCATTATTTATTTGTACAAGACTGAATATCATATATCCGTTGTTGTTTTTTCCCGCAAATTTTGTGAAAAAAGGTTGGATTCAGTTTTTATTTTGCGTAAATTTTTTGCGATTGACAGTGTGAGCTTCCACTCCAGTAAACTAGAAGGTTTTTTATGGCACACAATAACTGACATTATTTCTGCGTGTTTTATTTCTTGCAAATTAAAAATGGTTGCAAAAATGCGAAAAATAGATTATCGCGAAAAAAAAAAACGGATACAAGGTATTCAACTTGAGTTTACATGCAATCAAACCTTGTTATCTTAGTTTTACATACAGCCAAACCTTATTATCTTGAACTCGATGGGACCAAGGTAAAACTTTTGAGATATCTAAGGATTCGAGATATCAAGGGTAAAGTACTCATAGAATAAGTGACTTGGACTTCCATATTGCATCGACATATCCATGGTATTCGAGATATCGGTGCTCGAGTTACCGAAGTTCAACTGTGTGTTTAAAGCTGACATGAACTCTTAAAAATGTGATATTTTCATCCTTGTACGACTTATTTCATTCCCGTACTCCCTTTTCCGCCATATTTCTTTCAGATTCGCTCACTTATTTTACCGGCTATATAAACCCTGATGCCTTTTTTACACTTGAGTGATTTTCTAGCCTGGCTGTCGACATGTACACATCTCCGATAGCAAAGTTTTGGAACACGTCATGAACTGACCGAAAACGTAGGCCTGTACACATCTCCGATAAAGCAGTTTTGGAACACGCAATAAATCTAACAATCCTACCAAAACTAGGAATTTTACTGAAAACTGGAAAGGATATATAAATTTTGAATAATTTTGATGCATAGAAATCAAAACGGCAAATGCATGTTTGATATACATTACATATATATTTGAACAATAAAGAAGGTACCACATATATTTTTTTCCAAAAAAAAACCCCACTGTACTGTTGAGCTTTATGCATGTTACACGGTATAAGCACATACTATGCAACTTACGCATTGAAGTTATACATGTACATGCATGCATGCATGCCGAGAAAACGCGTCGAACGCTTTATACTCATCTGCCTGAAATACAGAGCTCGCTACAAGGATGTGCACATGTTGAAAGAATTACTTCCTATTTTCCTTTTATTGAAATATGCATCACAGAAGAAATAACTCCATTTGTAACTCAACGGTAAACAAATTGTCACTAGCACTTGAACACACGTTGTCCCTGCCGATCAGCATTTTTGGTCAGGGAAAATATCGAAATGTGGAAATGACACTGATATTTGCCTGATTAGACAATGTAGTCACGCAAATAAAACGTTTCAGAAATCGAACTAACTGTTGTCGGTACATGTAGTAAATATGTTCATGACTGTGGCTTTATTACAACAAATTTATTACATAAACATACATTCTTGTTACGGATCTTACATCTTTTAAAGAAAATGAAAGGGGGGGGGGATATGTAGAATACATTTTTCAATATATTTTAAACAAACGTCGAAAAAAGGTCGGATTTTCCTTGATCAAATATATTTAAATACTTGCAATGAACTGGCCTCAACTATTTCAGATATAAAACTGATATATCTTAAATTTACACACACTGAACAATTTTTTTCTGTAGACATTTTCAAAACAGGACCCTTTTAGGCGTAATAAATTACAAGCACGATTGATACACAGACATAATTATGTGTATATAAAATAATCTACAGTATATGTTTTTGTATATATTGAAGTTGAGTAAGTATTAAACTATTAGTATATGTCAAAGTAATATTGATAATTGAAATAGTTCTACCGTGTACCCAAATGTGAAGTGGTGTGATTCAACAATCTTCGCGCGCATTGCCAAAGATATCACGAGGCGATGCAAAAGTACTAATTATTACATTACATAAGTTTTTTTTAACAACTACACATATTTACACGTTTTAGATATTTAAAGAAATTTTGTGATGTGACTGAATGATTAAAATATGGTTGCGTGCATGTGTATTATTTCTTTAAATATTATATAATTTTAATTTTAAAATAGTCAAAGTTT